CACAGTAGTGCCTGGGGTTCTGCAAGGGACAGTTCGATCTGCTGTCACGGTGACTGCTGCAATACCAACATGACAGGCACGCGCTTCGTGCTGTCCACGGTAAAAGCACAGGTCCTGCCCACCTGGGCTTGTTCTTTGGCGCCTTTCATAGAGGGTTGCATTTGAAGTCGTGAGATGAGAGGATTTCGTGGAGGCAGAAGTGGACTGCAGAGGTGGCTAGAGAGTGACGAGAGGGCTTTGCTACAGGTGGCTGTTCTTCCTGGTGCCTCCTTTCCAGAGCAGTGACCAAGAAGGGTCTCCAGGGGCCATAAGGTGCGTCTTCATATCAGGAGTCTCTAGTATAAGTGAAGTATGTCACAGCAAGGGGAAATGGGCACACTTTTATTTCTCCAGTTCTTTCTGAAAGGATAGGGTGGGGGCATTAGCAATATCAGCCATCAGAATTCAGCGGCAAGCACTTGGTGATCTTATCTGGAATGGTGTAGTGACTTTGTCTCAAAGAAGGTGCCACGTAGTGGAGAGAATGATGACATCAGCCTGTTATTAACCTCCAGATATGTGCCAGGAGATTCAATTTGTGAGTGTCAGCCTCCTTCAGCCCTTCAAGGAGTCTGGGGGCATGTCCAAGGTCACAGAACTGGTGGGGGTGAAGGGCAGAGGCTGTGTCTGTCTGTCTGACTCTAGACCCTTCAGCACCAATGGTCAAGGCTAGCTTCCTGCCCTTCTCTGGAAATGATGCTCATGTCTGAGAACCCTTGACCCTCAGGAACCATGCCCCTGTGGGAAACACTTTATTCTATGTGAGGACTGCATTGGAGAGCATCTGAGTCATAGAATACAAATTATATGTGTGTATGTATGTGAAACTTCTAAGATCTGTTTATGCCCTTTGTCTCTAGCTGTGGGTCCCTTTTCTCTTTGCTCACGGCTGGCTTAATCAGCACCCCCATCTCCTATTCTTAGCCTGTGCGTTAACGCGCATTATTCATGGTTATCGAGTTGGATGACTGTGGTTGAGGGCCTTCTATTTTTACAATAATTAAAGGGTTTAGGGGAAAATAGGTTTAGCTGCTCTGCGCCCTCAAATAGCCTTGGAGGTTGCTGGCAGACCGCTGAGAGCCAGAGTGAAGGTGCCGCCGCCCCTGTCCGTGGTGCTGAAGGACGCGTTGGAGCCGGTGCGCGTTCACAGGCTCTCACAGCCCCGGGCAGAGCTGGAACAGGAAAGTCTGCACTTTGTGCAGCTCCGTCTGACGCTCAGGCGCTTGCCAAGCCTAATGGACCATCAGGGCTGCATACGGGAGGGTGAGAGCATTTATGGAGAGGGCAGATGCTGGGCTGCTGGACAGCTGGACTAGGAGCGCAGGGGATGCTAAGGGCGTGGACTGTGACACTGACTGCTGGGCCCAGACCCTGCTCAGCCCCTCTGCCGCTGAGTCACCCTTCCAGTCCTCCACGCCTGGAACCCTTGCTTCCCTCGTCTGCAAACTGGCGACTGTGTTGTAGTCACCTCGCAGGGTTGCTATCCAGATGAAATGAGCTAATGAAAATAAATGAGTTATATTTGTAAAAAGTGCTCGTAAACATTAAGTATAATTACCATTACAGCAGCACAGTGTACCATTTTTATATGCCAGATAACGTCTTCTGTGCCCTCTGCATCCATGAGGTCTCATCTCAAGACAGCCAACAGCTGTGAAATGTCAGAGCTCCCCGTCCCCCGAGGACGGCTTCTGTGACTCCCAGAGCCTTGGGAGGACTGGTCTGTTATTAGAAAGCCTGTCCCAGGTGGGCTGACTTGGAGGTGGGTGGAGGGTGTCCTTTTCTTTCTCTCGTTCATCCAAAATAATTCAGAGAACATCTAAGAATAATAACGGTGCCCAGTATTCATAGCGCTGCTGTGTGCCAGGTCACATGCCCATGCCCTTTGGTTGTGGGGTAAATATCATTGTCCTCATTTACAATTCTGTTAACCGTGTGACAAAGAGCAAGTGAGTTTCTCTCTCTAGGTGGTCAAGTGGAAGCTGAGTGTGTGTAGTCTGAGCCCGCTGACCACATTTGTCACACTGAGAAGTGGTTCTAAGCTTCACTAAGTGTCCAGCCTGGGACTGCTCCACCGGTTGCTGGGCTGCAGTCCTCGTCTGATTTGGGGGAACTGGGGTGGGGGAGCAAGAATCTGTCTTTCCGGCAAGGCCCAGGTATTGCCGATGCTGATGGTCCCAGGGTCGTGCTGAGGGCCGCTGCCCAGAGCACTCCTCAGACCCCACCTGAAGGACATACCGTGTCTCCCACCAGGCGGGCAATACCACAGTCATTGCACCTCCAGCAACGAAGTGATCTCTTTGTCAACATTTAGGGAGGGAAAGGCCCTGATAGTAGATGAGAAGAAACCTGTGTTCTTTCTTTTCTCAGTATTTTGCCCAATGCAGTAACCACACAATTCCTGGAGCTCTGGTTCCGACAAGTGGGCGTGGGTGGATCACTTCCTGCCAGATGTCCCCCACCCGGATGGCTCCCACTGAGATCATGGAGGCAGCATGCGGAGGGTGGGGGAGCAGAGAGGTCGGAGCCTTGACTTGGAATCAAGGCCCCAATTTTGAGTCACAGCCGCCCATGTGAACAGGGGGAGGCCCCTCGTTATCTTCTCTGACACATTTCAGGTACATTGCCTGTTGTCATCCTCTTAACCGGAGCGATTTCTTTGCTACAGGTTTGGACAGTCTACCCAAAACAGCAGTACTTGATGCTTTCCCTGCACATGTGGCGTTTCCCCAAGCTGGTCTCAGGGCATCTCACCAATGGCCTTGGGCCAGAGTAGGACTGCCCCTTGGTCATGCTTTTTACAGGAGATGGAGCTGAGACCCAGGAGCGGAAGCCACTAGCTCTGCGGAACTAATGGGTAGCAGACGCCACATGTGAATCTAGACCCTTCTTCTTGTAGTCTGCTTCCCTCCCCTCCCCTC